TCTAAGAATGCTTTTGGCCTCAGGAACTTGGGTGGCACTGACTTGAGACCCTTGCCGTGGCTGCGCCACGCAGGTACGCAAAGGCAGATGGGGAGGGAAGAAGCCCCAAGATTTTCCAGGGAGTGGATTGAGTAGCTGGGTTGTACTGGATGCAAAGGATCAGGGAGAGTAAAGGTAAGCCTCGGAGCCCCAGAAAGAGGCTGTCAGCCCCAGAAAGAGGCTGGCGGGTGTTGCAGGACCAGGGAAGTAGAGGGAGATGAGGGCAGGGCCAGGACCAGAAGCGGTGCTCCTGGAGCCCAAGAAAGGGACTGAGTTGCTCTGGGTGAGAAGGATCAGGAAGCAGTATTGGTTCCCCAGGTGTCTGGGGCCCCAAGACTAGGAATGGTGCCGGGCCGAAACTAGGAGTATAGAATGGTGAGGGGGCGGATGAAAGGGTGAATGTCGCTTAGGGAGTCCCGGCGCGGAGAGCTGCGCTATAGACTTACCCCAAGAGGCCTGAGGATAGTAGTGCAGGGTAGGAGAGTTAGCCGGTGGTGCAGGCCCAGGGAAGCAGAGAGAGGTGAGGGCGGGGCCAGGACCAGAAGTGGTGCTCCTGGAGCCCAAGAAAGGGACTGAGTTGCTCTGGGTGAGAAGGATCAGGAAGCAGTATTGGTTCCCGAGGTGTCTGGGGCCCCAAGACTAGGAATGGTGCCGGGCCGAAACTAGGAGTATAGAATGATGAGGGGGCGGATGAAAGGGTGAATGTCGCTTAGGGAGTCCCGGCGCGGAGAGCTGCGCTATAGACTTACCCCAAGAGGCCTGAGGATAGTAGTCCTTTGTATTTTTTTTAAACTTCCCAGACTGTGATTTTTATCTCTAGAAGTTCAGTTAAGTGTTTTACATTTTCCATAGGTGAAGGCACGCTGGAGCTGTAGAAGGGTAATAGAAAATAATAGAAAATCTCTTGGTGCCTGGAAACAGGAGAGATCCAACATCAAGACATGGAAGCCCAGGACCATGTGTCAAGTCAAGACCACAGCTGGCCCTCAGGGGAGATGGGAAGTGCATTCTAGAGAATCAGTTCCCTGAAAACTAGAATCTGCAAATGACAGATCCCTGTTTTCAGCAAAAGACCAACACAGAGACAAAGCCACTGCCATACACAGTTTGGGATTGGGGGATGGGATTGTGGGAAATGCAGCCACTCAGAGAAGGCTGAAACTGCTGTTCCATCCTTCACTCTGCTCCACCATCATTCTATCACAAGAGGAATGTGGAAGTATGACTTGTAGTAGGGGACCAAAGCTCCAGGTTCACAGAAAGGAACCACAGTTCTAGCTCATAGGAGGGGACAACTCTGGCTCATGGTAGGGGACCACAGCCTCCAGGTTCACGGAAGGTGATCACAGTTCTAGGCTCACTGGAGGGGTCACAATTTTCAATAACACTGGTTCCTACTATTTTCCTATCTTCATCACACAATCCACTTGATTATACTTGTGTTTAAGATAGAGCATTTGGCTTCTGTGCAGCAAACAGAGGTAACAGTTACTTGGTGGCTTGAATTCCTTGCTAGAGGGATATCAATATTGTAGAAACCTACTTTTTATTTTTGCTCATGGAAACCGATGGATTGTGTGGGAACTTGCTTGTGCCCAGTGATCAGCTCTCATCCTACTTGAGGTTGGTTACCCAGGTGAAGATGGCTGTCCAACTATGGGTGCTTACCTCAGTGGCTGCCAGCAGGCCCAGTACCTGACAAGAGAGGCACTCCATGGGTGGGGGGGATCATGTCATAGTAGGGTGCTCACAGCTGCCTCCTGGATGTGCCCATAGCCTGGACCTTGTACCCAGAGAGAGGTGACTAGGGCCTGAAATTCACTTCCAGACACCTGTGGCCTTTTATTTATTTAAGTTTTTAATTGAATTTTTGTGTATTTCATACAGAACATCTTAACCATCTTTATACTCCCTTCCTCATTGGCCCCCTCCCATAGCCTCCTGGAATTCATACATTGTTATTTGTGTTAAGGCCTATCATTTCAAGTTAGTATACCCAGATGTCCCTCAGTGCAAGTTCATCCACTGAGGTCTAGTCAGTCTATCTAGAGCTCCTTCCTTTAAGAAAATCAACTCTTCCTCACCCAGTAATAATCAGCTGCCAGTAATTCTTTGACCAAGATTGGGGCCTACTGTCCATTTCCACAGTTTGGTGCTGAGTTTTTGTCTGCTTGAGCTTGCATGGGTCTTTTGCATGCTGATACCATTGCTGTAGGTTCATATAAGAAGGGTCCCAGGAGCCTGTAGGACTGTATTTGCATATGGTCATGTACCTCCTCCATGGCTCTTACAGTCTTTCCACCCCCTCTTCCGAAATGGTCCCTGAGCCCTGGGTGGGTTGATTTTAATATAGGAGACCTGACCAAGGACCTACACTCTGTAGACGCCTATTCTCTATGTTTCGGCCATTTGTGACCTTTTTTTTTTTTGTTCCTGGCCCCCTGTTGCATGAGGGAGCTTCATTGATGAGAATTGAAGATGCATTAGTGTTTTCTTCATCTTTTCTATGTTCCATGAGCCTTCAGTGTAGAGGTTTCATTGTAGATGTGCCACTTAGGTTTTGGGAAATTCACAGACAATCTCTGTGTGACCAGTTGTGGAGCTAAGTAATATTCTGTCTGTTGAGAAAGAAGCTTCTTTGATGGGTAGTGATTGAGATACCTGTCTGTAAATTTAAGGATTCATATTTTGCATAAAGTAAGAAATTACATTTGTTGAGGGATGTGACAGCCTTGCGGTTTTCTCTAAGCTCTATGTGTATTTGGCTAGGCTTACAGTACGCACACATGAGTTTCCTCCCATTGAGTGGGCTTTAAGTCCAATTTGGTAGCTGTTGATTACCTCAAGATAAAAGTGCCAGTACTGCAACCATGTTGTTTGCTGTGCCGATCATTGGTGTGGCTTTTAGGCCTTGAAGCTGTGGTTGGACCATCAGTTGATGTTCTCCCTTACCAGCTTTTGTAGTGCTCTCCAAAGTTATGAGAGCTAGCCTTCTGGGAGGTGGCTTCCAGGTCAGTTCCAGCTCCATTGCTCCAAATCCTGGGTCGGAAGTATGACCCGTTTTCAGCAATAGGGTCTTACCTTTAAGTTCTGGGAGGCAATCAAGGACTGTGGCAATAGCCTGTGTAAATTTGGGAGTCTCTTGGACTACCGTTGTGTCCTTTTATTGTAATATTTCCCTGTAGCCCCAGGTGGTCTGGAACTTCCTATGTAGACCAGGCTGGCCTCAATTTCACAGAGGTCTTCCTGCCTCTGCCTCAGAGTGTTGGAATTAAAGCCATGTGCTACCACACTTGGCTTCTTACATGGATTCTGAGGATGTGAACTGAGGTCCTCATCTTTGCATGGCAGGCACTTTACTGACTGAACCATCTTCCTAGTCCTGTGATGTTTTATTGAGGACTAAATAACATGACAAATGTAAAACAAAAGATGCACAGTCTTTCCCTGCCTCTGGTTTTGTTGCTCATCTGTTTGTCCATGGACAAATAATTTCATTCCCCTGCCTTAAGTTCTTCATCCATTGAAGGACTGAGTTGAAGGAAATCATTGACAAAGTACTCTCTCTGAAAGCATTCCATACCTTTAGAGAATCAGCTAGGTCCCTCCCCTTCCAGAGATTTCCCTGTTGAATGCTTTCAGCTCCTCAGACCATTTTATTTGCATGCTCAAGCCTCCATTCAAATTGAAAGCTGGTATCAGCATTGAGTGTCTCTACTGTGTGTTACAGATGGTGAAGTTCATGCAACGTTGCACTTCACACATGAAGGCCATCATTCAGGGCTTCTCCTATGACCTCCTAAAGAAGATAGACTCTCCTCAGCAGCTTATCTGCAGCGCCCCCTGGTTTGGGAACTTTATGCAGGGGTAAGTACAGCTTTGAACAGAGTGTGAATTGTTCTGAACCACCTCCACCTTCCTAGTAGTAGCCCTGTGACTCTTCAGCTACATAACAAGTTGAAACAGGAAAAGGAAAGCCTGTCACTGATGAGTTTCTAGGGCCTACAGTATTTCCAAGAGCAGAATTACAGCATTCACATAGATTCACGAATAGAAGTGGCACATGAGCCAGATACGGTGGCTCATACCTTTAATCACAACGCTGGGGAGGTAGAGACAGGCAGATCTCTGTGAGTTCTAGTTCAGCCTAGTTTATGTAACAAGTTTCAGGCCCTCAAGGGCTACATAGTAAGACCCTGTCTCAAAAAAAAAAAAAGTAAAAAGAAATAGTGACACAGACTTTACAGACCTATTTGCAGGCTGGGATAGGTACACTGTATCCTTCTAGTTCTTTTGACATTGATCAAGAAGAAGTGGATCCTGTAGCAGCAGAATATTTTTCATTCAGTCTGAACTGAAACTGAACAAGATTTGAGAACATCAATTGAACATCCATTCCATACATGGCACAGTGCCAGGTTCTGAACTGAAGATATATGAGACACTAGTATGACAGTGAAACTTCAGTTAATGGGGCTCTGGTATACAGGTGGTAGCTTTGAGTAGTGTGTGGTAGGAGCAGTGGCTGGATGAACAACATTTTATTTTCCCCCCTTTGGTCTTTTTGAGACAGGGTCTCTCTGCAGCCCCAGCTGGCCTGGAACTTGCTATGTAGACCAAGCTGGCCTTGAATTCACAAAGATCTGCCTGCCTCTGCCCCCCAATTGCTGGGATTAGAGGTGTGTACCATCAGGCCTGGCTCTTTTAAATTCTTATATTTATGCAATTAAGAGTACATGAAAGACACCCTGTGTTCCCCAGTACTAGTACTTGGGAGGTTGAAGCAGGAAGTTCGTGTGGGCTATATAAAAGGACCCTGTCTAAAAGAAAAGAGGGGTTGAGTGACATGTACCACTCTCAAACCTTGTTATATGTTGCCATATTACCCGTCTGATGTGGGGAAAAAAAAAGAAAGGAGGAAAAAAAAGTAGTAAAGGCAACTAATTAGACATTTTGGAAAATTTGGGTGTTGTTTCTATAGATATGAATGGTTAATTCTTACTTTTTCTCCTCTCTTTTCTCTTTTAATATTTCTAGAAGCCCTAATAGTTCTCCTAACAGACAGCTTAAACCTGGAATCATTTCTGCCCTAAATATCTACAGCTTTGGCTTTGGAAAGGTAAGAGGTTGCCACTAATAACCAATGTTGACCATATCTCTTACCTTATTGAACTCTTCCCACTTTTGAGTCCAGCATGAGCTACAGAGTGAGATTTTCTCTGAAAAACAGAATACAACAAAAAAGGTGTATAGGGGTATTTACCAAGTTAGTAAATAGCAGCTCTCATTGTTTTTAGCCAAGTGACAAGATTCTGGAGATATTTTACTTTTCCTTTTTTCTTATCACAGTTTGAGTCTTTGCCTTGGTTTCAGTTTTATCTCACAGCAGGGATGCAGCTCACTTATCCAGGATCTCTTCCAGTAATTGGAGAAAAGGAAGTGATTCAAGCTGATGATGAGCCTACCTTCTCTTTCTTCAGTGGCCCCTACATGGTCATGACCAAGTAAGTGGGAGCTGGCTAGTGGGAGGTTGAGCATAGTCCTTTGGGAAGAGTGGCTTCCTATGTGTAGATGCTTCTTCTGAAACACAAAAGAACTCTTAATGTATTTAAGTCAGGGTTTCTCACTGTGACATTTTTGGCCAGTTAATCCCTTGTTGTTGCGGTCCAACCACCTTTCTTCCTTCTGAAGAATTACAAGAAGCTTAGTGGTGATTGTCTTTCCTTTCATACAGGCCCAATGGTTTTGAGGCCCATATTATAGAAGGAGGAATATCTATCAACTGAGGCTTGCAGTGAAATCCAGGGAAAGCTACAGTAACAGGATCTGGATAAGGCAAAAATCTCTGGGATATGCCTCTGCAGTGTAAAAAGAGTGGTCCTGGCCAAGGTTTCTTGCTTCTGTAATACAGATGCTTCTTTCCTTCTTTTTTTTTAAATTTATTTTTTACTTTAATTTAAATTTTTTTTTAAAAGAAGCATTTCATTACAGTGTTAACATACTCAATAACAGTTTCCAGAGCAAAGATACATCTCTTTCAAAAGTGGCTATAAAATTTTTAGGATCACTGTTTTATTAATATAGTTATACAATCTTGAACTTAGTATAAGCCCTGTAAGACATAAAATTGAATGAGTTTTTAACTTTTAAAAAAGTTCTCGCCAGGTGTAGTGGTGCACGCCTGTAGTCCCAGCACTTGGGAGGCAAAGGCAGGCGGATCTCTGTGAGTTCAAGGCCAGCCTGGTCTGCATAGTGAGTTCCAGGACAGCTCAGACTACAGGGAGACCCTGTCTCAAAAAGACAAAAAAAAACCCCAACACCAACAAAAAAGTTCTCAATTTTATTTTAAAATATACTGTTTCTTACAGAAAGACTCATTGCTTTTGCTAATAACACTGAGATGTTGGAGCATGCATCTCTAATCTGTATGTATCTGATTATTACTAGTCATAATCAGTTGCACTCAGATCCTTGATACCTATGTATGTTTATAAAGTCATCAGGTAGATTTCAATGGTAATATTTATCACCTCTACTAATTAACATGATGTAAACTTTTATGCTTACTCCTCAAATATAATTCATTTTTTTAATTTGTTGATTTTTTTTTGTCTGCGTATATCACACAGAGCATCCCAAACCATCCTATTCAACTATACACCCACTTCCCAGATGGCACCCTCCCATAGCCTTTCTCCCCCTACTAGTGCCCTTATACTCTATTACCCCTGCTATTGTCCGCTGTGTTGTCAGCACCCCCTGCGGTTCCCCACTACTTGTCTATCTGGTGAATCTAGTCAGTCTATCTAGAGGTCTTTGTTTTACGAAGGTCAGCTGTTCCTCATCTAGCAGCAATCGGTTGTCAGTATTCCTCTAGATAAGATTGGGGTCTGCTGTTCATTTTCCCAGTTCTATGCTGGGTTACTATCTGGAAGTCCCTTGAGCCACCCTGGCCAACAATTCAAAAAAAGGTATCTCCTATCTGGCATTGTTGCTTGTTATGTAGTCTTTAGCTATACATATGGACTCTTAAAAAAATTATTTGGCCCCTTTAAGCTTTCGTTATACTTTCCTTTTGGGTGTTTAAGGCCATACAATTGGCCCAGATAAACCAATTTATTTTTACTCTTAAGGCCATTTGAGGATCTATTCCTCAGGGATCACATGGGCTTGAGAGGAGCCCCTGGCTCCTTTCTTTTACCAGTTCCTCCTATGTGAAGATAAGTCAAAGGTCCTACTCGCCCATGGCTGGCTTCGCTTGGAAACATGGAGGAAATAATTCCTCTGTGTTGACCTTCCTCTTTGTACACTGGACACTGGTTCAAGTCCATCTTGTGGGGTCTCCTCGGCCTCCTGGATCAAGAGGACAGATCACCTACCACCATCATAGGACATTTTGAGAGATGCTCATAGTCCCCTGGAACTAATCAACCTAGGAGGGCAAGGAGCAAAAACTCCTTTATATCCCTCTGACCAAATTAGTATAGGCATCAAAGTATGGCTGTTAAACATACAAGAAGGTTAGTTCCACCAGTCTGGTACTTTTAATTACTGTATGCCATGTAGATAAATCTTGGGCAAAGACCAGTTGTTCTCAGACAAACCTTGCCTAGCCATATATTTCTTGATCTGGTATGTATAGTTTGTCAGTAGGTTGTTGGACTAATATGGTTCCCTCTGGTTTTTAAAACTAGCTAGGCATTATTTATCTCTCGCATTGTCTCACCCCTCCATCACAGTTTCCCCAATTAAGGTGCCCCCATTTTCCCCCTCTCTCCCTTAATAATACTTCTCCTATGGTCCTACCTCTCTTGAGCTCCTTATGCTTCCTTTTTAAAAAGCTTGGCATTTTTATTGTTTAAGGCTAGTAGTAGATCTGTCTATAAATGTCTTATTCTATTGGTTTTAGATTTTTATTATCTGGGGCAGTATTTAATTAATTTGCTGTGAAGACCCTAACCTGAATCAGGTCCCCTGCTGATTGAGTGGGGGTAAGAGGTGCGGAGTCACAACACACAGACCCCAGGAGTTGGGTAGAAGCAAGCACTAGGCGAGGTGCTGCAGGCTTGTTTAATGCAGGAGGGGGCACGCCTTGTATCTCCCTTTTCTCCGCGCCCAAGTCCCTGTAGTCAGTATATCGTTTTCTGATTGTCGTGAGCAGGGTACGGAGGCATGGGCTCCTTTTGGTGGGCTATTTGTGGACCAAGAAGTGAAGTGAATTCTCGCTGAATCCCAGGGCTCTGGATCCGCGCCATCTTTGGAGGCCTCCTGCTACAGATGACAGAGTATATGGGCCCCAGTGGTGGTGGGGGTCTGGCAGGGCACCAGTGGAGATGGGGTTATAAAGATGATTAAGATTGATTGAGGCTGTCTTAGGTTGTCCTATTCGGGCATGAACCTTACCTGTCATTGGAGCATGGACATACACGTCCATGTCCTGGCTTAGATTGATTCAGCCCAACAGGATCTTACGCATCATTGGCTACCAGCCCTCCAAGGGGTATCATCCCGGTGGATCAGTCGAGGTGGGGAATTATCTGTAGGAGGCCTCGTACATTTGTG